CACACAGTTCTCTCAATATTCTTTCATTCTTAGAGATCCTTTTTTCTCTCTGTGCCTCAGCTTCTCTGTATTCCTGTTCTCTACTTTCTACATTTGCTGTCTTCTCTATTTCATCTAATCTTCTTTTAAATCCCTCCATTGTATGTTTCATTTCATATACTGTATTCTTGAATGTTTGTCTGTAGCTCCATGAGCATATTTACAATTTTTATTTTAACTCTCAGTAAGATTGATGAGTTCAGTTTCACTTGGCCCTCTTTATGGTGTTTGTGGAAGTTTAGTTTGAACAACATTCCTTTGACATTTTGTAGCTGTCTGTGGCACCCTCTGGTGCCCAGAAGCTGTACTGTATGGAGCTGTTCAGCCAGGAGGAAGGTGCAGCAGGCTGCATATCATGGTGGGGGACCTCATAGCTGAGTAGCCAGCTAGGTGATGGAGTGCCTGAATCTCTTTAAACTTCCAAACCTGCTGGGAAGATTGCACCCAGACAATTTTCTCCACTTGTACTTTCTCCTTAGCAGCAAACTCTGTGCATTCCTTGCCCTTTTAGCAGCACTCTGTCTGTTAGAATTCTCCTCTCATACTGCCTGCCTTTATTTTGTCCCAGAGTAGCTGGATGTGGGTCCCTGATTTTCACAAATGGCTGGAATCAGTCTCTCCCAGTATTCTACCTTAGCTTTCCAACCACATTAATCTCAAGAGCACCATGTAGTATAGGTACCTGCTCCCACAGCAGATATCCAGGGCTGCGTGTTCAGCAGTCCTAGGTCTCCACCCATTCCCCGCTTTCTCTTCCTCCGGTGAGCTGGGGTGGGGTAATGGATTGGTTCCCTCCAGATCACGGCTTTGTTATGTTACCCTTTTACTTGAGGTGTCCTGTTTTCCCCAGTTTGTCCAAGCCTTCTTTCCTGTTGCTCTTTCAGGATTTGATATATTGATTATATTTTCATATTATATGTGGTTTTGGTATGATGTTTCTCTTTCACCTCTCATGCTGCCATCTTTAATCCTCTTCCACATTGAGGCTTTTTATAGCCAGGTGTTTTGGTAGGCTTTTGAGGGGATAGGTCAGGGTAAAGGTGGGCTTGTGGCTTGCTAATGTGTCTTCCAGAGAATGCTATAGCCTAAGTAAGATGAAACTTAGGTTTCTCTGAGATGGTGGTTTGGCTTAGTAAAAAATACAGTACTCTGGTCCAGGCTCTATCATTTCTGGCTCTAAAGGGGTATAGGGAGACAGGTCATGATTCTTTTCTTGGTTACTCCCCAGTGAGAGGGAGTTATGAAGGGTATTTTCTGATATTTTGAAGCAGGAAGGCCATTTGGATGTGTTCTTGAGTAGTTGCCTGGGAGATGGCCACCATTAAATCCTGTAAAAATGTTTTGAATAGATTAATTAAGAATGAAGGAAAAGAATGAGGGAGGTGATAAAGGCTAATGGGATCAGGGAGGTAGAAGCCAATGAAGAGGAAGGGGAAACAGGTTATTACAAGAGCCTTCAAGAAGTTTGGAAGCTTGCTCACAAAGGCATTTTGCTCAATCCCTGACAAGGCTAGATTTGTTGGTGTAAAAGCAGCATTGTTCCTGGAGTAGAGCACATATGCCGGCCTGTGAAGCTGTCAAAGAGATCAAGGCCTCTGAGGTTTTGGAGGATGACTGAGCCAGTGTGTCCACTTGATCTTTTAAGTGCACCATTTGGTTGGAAACCTCTTTCCATCCTTCAGCAAGTTCATTTGACAGCCAGATGAACCTAAGAGACTCCTAGGGCCCCAAGACCTGTTCCAGAGCCTGTGATTATTCCCAAGGTGGCCATTAAGAAGACTAGGTGTATGGCATATTGTGCCCTGACATGGGTTAATGGGGAGACAGGGATGAGTAGATCAGATATTACTAAGGAAAGGATGGGAGTGAGGAGGCAGAGTGCAGACTCCAGTCCAGTTGTTGGCATGCAAATGTATGCCTTGTCTCCACATACCGAAATGATGTCTGCTTCCAGGGAAAGTCATCCCATTAGATCAAACCAAGTCAGGAGGAGGAGGTCTGGTGGAGGGCTGGGAAGTAACTGTAAGACCACCTTGAATTTGTGCCATCTATGGAAAGAGGAGCTGAAAGCTGCAGCCATCTGGGGGGAGAGGAGTGAGGCTGGGTGCAATACTGTACGAGTCTTGGCTAAGAGCAGGTAACTTCAGTTTAGGAAGATTCTGCTACCAGGTGTATCAGGATGTTTGCACTCTTGGGCTCCTCTGTGGGCTAGGGGAGTGTCTTTAAGGGGGTCTTTTCCTCTGTCTTGACAATACTACATGTGACATTGAGATTGCCTTGTAAGAAATTGTACCCAGATACCCATAAGAAAGTTCCCAGATGGTAAATATTGTGGTGATCCAAGGGTGGGAGAAGTCAAATGGTGAATTTGCAGAGGGAGGGATCTAAGGAGACACCTGGTGTATAGTGATCTTGTTGGGCTCAAGAAATGCAGAAAGGTAGAGGTTGGGTTAGATGAAGTTCACTTGGGAGGGACCAGTTATGGCCCACTGGGGACGTCAGTGAGCTTTTAAGTGCTATCTGATACCTTTTAGTGTCCCCTGGAAGTCTGATGTCAGTTCCTTCAGCTAGCCTTATACCCCTGGGACTGGTAGACTCAGTGGATTGTAGACCTTCAGACCTTCAGAAGTGTTGGTCCGTGTTCCAAGGGGAGCAGGGGTTGCTGAGTCGGCTGTCTGGGTGAGGTGGAAACAGACCCAGCAGGGTGGCTGGATGGTCCAACTAATGGTTTGGATGATTCTAGCCATATGGCAGTTTCTGACTGGCATATTTAGGAAGGGTCTCTGCTGTGGTGTTAGGAGCTAAGAAGATGAGTAATATTGACAAAGAATGGATTGGAGCAGAACACAAGGTACAGGTAGTGATTTGCCTCGGGGAGAAATCTGGGAAAATTCTATGTAGCCATAGGTCCTGGATTATTGTATCTAAGGAGGTGCATGCCAAGTAATGGAAGAGTGCTTCTATTAGAACGGTCAAGAAACAAGCAAAGTTATGAAGAGAGAGACTCATGGGATTGTTTAGCCATGCCGTCAGTTTCTTCATCCTCAGGAAGCAGCCCGGTGATCTTCAGGGATATGTGTCCTGTTGGTGTGAGCTGGAAAAGGGGACCCTTTCTGAGAGGAAAAGTGGACCCAGGAGGAATGACCTTTTCATTTGGCCACAGTTGGGGTCATCAGGATTACTTGAAAGGGCCCCATTCTTTTTAGTTTTAGATCCTAGGATAGGCTGAGGGGCTTTATAAATAACCTGTCTTCAGATTGTAGAACACAGCAGTGAGGGCGTGTAGGTTGTCAGAGGGTTTTCGGAGGGTGGAGTCAGCATAGTTGCAGGTGAGATGTCTAAGGGTTATAAGTAAATAATTCATGAAGGAATGGTATCTTTGAGTTTGAGGTGGAAAAACTGATGGCATTAAGGGGCCTTCCATACAGAACCTCAAAGAGGCTGAGCATAAAGAGGTTTGTGGGGGAGAGACCAGAATTTAAAAATGGCCAAGAGCAGGAGCTTAGCCCAATCCAAATGAACCTGAGGGAAAACTTGGTTAGGGTTTGCTTGAGGTGATTAGCCCCCTCTACCTTACCTGAGGTCTCGGGTTGATACATGATGTCGAATTTCCAGGTTATATTTATGGAAGAGGCCACCTTTTGAGTGATCTGTGAGTTGAATTTAGGTCCATTATCAGTTTGCATAGAGGTTGGCTGTCCAAAGCGCGGGGATGTTTTCAGTGAGTAGGGTATATGCTACTGTGGAAGAAATTTTGTTTGATGTAGCAAAGGCCTCTATCCACCCAGAGGTGTCAACCATGAAAAGTAAGTATCTCTAGTTCTTTACCAGGGGCATATGGCTAAACTCTGCCAGTCAGTGCTGGGGAGGGATCCCCAGAACTGAAGTGCAGTGAATTGGGGAGGTCTTGCAGGTTGGTGGTTTCACATACAGAGCATTAGGTGATAATCTTTTGTAGGGAGGTCCTGAGACCAGGAGTAAGATGTATGTGGGCTCTAGGAACTGGAACACAGGGAATGATCTGGCATGGAACTGGCCATGGAAAGATGAAAGTAATTTATTTTGTAAGCCTTCAGAAGGACCAATTTTCCATGGAGGAACCAACATTGTTCTTCTTGTAGTGCCCCATTCTTTGCATACAGCTAGTTCTGATAGAGTGACTAGGGAGGGATAAGAGGGAAAAGGAAACAGCGAATGGAGAGAGGGTTGACAGCTGTTTGTTTGCTACTATATCAGTTTTGTTATTTCCACAAATAATGTTTCCAAGATTTTATCCTGTCAGGTAGTATTTGATGGCCTTTGCAATGAAATACAGCAGGTCTCTGAGGTAGAAGTGCTACCTCTATGAGATCTTGAGTTACGGGTCCATTTTGCATAGGGGTGTTTTTTGCTGTTAGGAATCCTCTTGTTCCAGATCTGGGCATATGAATGCAGGATATTATAAGCATATTCAGAGCCTGCATAGAAGTTGATAGTTTTACCTTTTGTGAGAGTAAGAGCTCTGGTGAGTGCAGTAAGTTGTGCTGGTGTGAAGTCGTCACTGCAGGGAGGGCAGCTGCCTCAACTACTTCCCAGGGCAGGTAGGACTGGCTGTCATGATAGCCCTCAGTGATGGCATACCCTACCTGGGAGGAGATGGCCTTCGAAACACTTCCATCAATAAGCAAGTGAGGAGATTGCAGAATATGTTCTGAGGTTATGGGATGGAAGCGGGTGAGAGTGACATCAAGGAGCTTGGTGCACTCACGTTGGGAGGTGGTCTGGGCAGTTAGGTAGTGGGAAGAGGGAGGTAGGGTTTAGGATACAAGAGCAGAAGATACTCCAGGGTGTAGAAGCTGACAGATAAGATTTGTTCTTGTGCAGCGAGATATTCCCCAAATACCTATTTTACCACCCGTGTTGTCAGGCTGTTCTGGGTACCACTTGTGTGTCGGCTCTCTGTAAAGGAGACACTGAGATGATACCGAATAAGACAAGGCTTTTATTTAGTGTGTGAGAACATGGGGAGGAGCCAAGGGTGGCTGGGAGGGGGCGCAACAGGAGCGTTTGGTGGAAGAGTCTGGACTGCTGTGTAGCCTCACAGGGGATGTGTCAACAACAGTCCTACCATTATCTCCGGGCTGTCATCACTGGATCAGACCAGCACACAGGATGCCCAGCCAGGCAGAAGGCCTGGTCTCCAGGAGAGAGACTACATTTCCCCCAGTAACCTGGGTAATTCCCTCCCCTCTCCAGGCATCTGTTTCTCAAACCTGGACCTTGTCTCAGAATCTGCTGTAAATATTCATGAAGACAAAGACTTATGTTTCCTCCTGTTCAGGGAAAGTCTCCAAGTTCAAGTCTCAGTAGTCCTGCAGTTACCCCCAGCCTCCATGACACATCTGTGAGCGAGGTCACAGGACCAGCTGTAGCTTTGTAAAGCAGCAGTTACTGGATGGAAAGGGCAGCCCACTACAGGCTGACCCAGAGGTGCTGACACTCAGCCATCAGCTCACTGCACCTTGATCCTTCCCTTAAGGAAGCCCCTTAAGAAAGAAATTGCAGTAATTGCTACTCATGTGTCCCTAGTCAAGGGGCTCCTGAAGTTCCTCTGGAACTTTGATGGGGAGGGGACAGATGGTGATCAGATTTCCTGTGCGTCTGTTGACTTCTAAGTAAAGCTTTGGCCACACTGTGCCCACAAGTACTTCCCCATTGACTGGAAGCTTTGATATCCACAGGCATGATTATGGCTCATCTTTCTCACCCTGCATCACACACAGGCTCTTTTCTCCGTGTGTGCCTTGGGACCAGGGGAGAGATGACTGTCTTCTAAGGCCTCGTGCACATCCCCACACAACTGCCTCTCTCATAACTGTGTCATCACCTACTGCTGTATGACTTGTCAGTACTCCAGTGCTTGCTCTCCTGGAAAGCTATAGGATTCTCTCCTAAGCATATTTTCTCACACATGATGAGGTCAGACTCATTGGTATAGACTAAAAAACAGTCCTTGCATACAAAAGACTTCTTCCTTAAGCATGAGTTCTGGTGTTTCTCAGGCCTGACTGCCAGAGAGAACATTACCCCCACTCACTACAGGCATCTATATAGATTCTCACCCGTGTTTCCACAGGTGGGACACTAGGGATAATTTTTGGATTAAAGTTTAAATACACTCTATATACACAATAGGCTACCCCTTGAGTGTACTTTCTTAAGTCTCAGAAGATTTGATTTAAAGCTAAAACTTTACCTACATCACTCAAACAAACTGCTCCTATCCTGAGTGTTTCAGCTGGTGGTAGATCATGGATGACTTTTGGGTAAAGCCTTTTCCACACTCCTTGCAGACAAAAGGCTTCTGGCCTGAGTGTTTCCACTGGTGGGAGATCAGGTAAGATTTTTCAATAAAGCCTTGTCCACACTCCTTGCACACAAAAGGCTTCTGGCCTGAGTGTTTCCACTGGTGGGTGGTCAGGTTTGATTTTTGGATAAAGCCTTGTCCACACTCCTTGCATACAAAAGGCTTCTGGCCTGAGTGTTTCCACTGGTGGGAAACCAGAGATGATTTGTGCATCAAGCCTTGTCCACAGTCCTTACACACAAAAGGCTTCTGGCCTGAGTGTTTCCGCTGGTGGGAGATCAGCTTTGGTTTTTGGGTATAGCCTTGTCCACACTCCTTGCACACAAAAGGCTTCTCCCCTGTGTGTGTCCATTGGTGCAAAACCAGAGATGATTTTGTGGTAAAGCCATGCTCACACTTCTTGCACACAAATGGCTTCTCCCCTGAGTGTGTCCTCTGATGGACTATAAGGTATGATTTTCTGACAAAGCCTTTTCCACACTCCTTGCACACGAAAGGCTTCTCCCCTGTGTGTTTCCACTGGTGAGAAACCAGAGATGATTTTTGGAGAAATCCTTGCCCACACTCCTTGCACACAAAGGGCTTCTCCCCTGTGTGTTTCCACTGGTGAGAAACCAGAGATGATTTTTGGAGAAATCCTTGCCCACACTCCTTGCATATAAAGGGCTTCTCCCCTGAGTGTGTCTTCTTGTATGTTACAAGGTTTGGCTTATCACTGAAGTCTGGCCCACCCTCCCTGCACATATATGGACTCTCTCCTGGGTGCATCTTCTGGTGCAAGAATAGTCCTGACTTATCAATAAAGTCCTGTCCACACTCCATGAATGTTAAAAGATTCTGTCCATAATGTGCTTTTCTGTGTTCGAGTAGCTTTGTCTTCTGACTAAAGCCTTGCCCACACTCTGCACATCTGAATACTTCCCATCCCAAATTTTCTCTTTCTTTTAACAGTTTGCCTGTTTCTTTAGGATTTCCCCTCTGGGCTTGGCTACTATCAATTTCCACCACTGTGTTCCTTTGATCCAGACTTACTGCATTAGTGGGGTTTGAGCTGACAGATGCCCGCAAGGTCTGACTCCCCCTCCTCAACAAGGTCGGGGAGTTTTCTGTCTCTTGACCTTCTGCCCTATCACTCCAGTCACTCTGATGAGAGAGTTCTTCCTGCTCTTGTTCCTGGTGCTCCAGGCCAGGACTCTTTCCCTGTGGGTAATTTGTTGCATGTATGCCTGGAGACACCTGAGTAGAATGGTCATGAATTGTGTGCCAGATGAGGGCGTGCTGACCGCAGAAGGCCAGTGGGTGGCTGACGGGAAACAGATGGATTTCTGGCTTTGCTTCTGCTGAAGAGAAAGTGCCCAGTCAGGATGGTCACAGGTAAGGCAGCCTGGGCCACCACCTCGCACAAGGGTACCCCTCACAGGCCCTGCTCCTGCATCTAGTTCAAAGCTTGTATCTTCCCTTAGAGAGAAATGTACACACTGAAAAATGATTTCCTCCATAGTCTGTTTTCTAAATTACAGTTAGAGCATCATCTAGATTATAAATTCTCCTCAGCTTAAAAAGGAATGAAATTTTACTGTTTGTGACAACATTCATGGGTCCTGAGTCATTATGTTAATTCAAATATGACAAAGACAAATACTGTGTGATAGCACCAGTAAGTGTGATCTGAAGAACAAAACTGAAACAGACTGATAGGTAACAAAATGATGGACAACAAAGGAGGGCTACGGGCTGCTGGGGAGGTAGGCAAAACAAGGTGAGGGGATGAAGATGTACAAACTTCAAGTTATAATATATGTTAGTTATGGTAGCGACTGTAGAGCTCAGGGTGTACAGTCAATACTGTGATAACTTTGTGAGATGATGAGCTCACCTCCATGCAGACCACAGGTCAGGGGCAAATAAAAAATATGCTGGTGTTATCATAGAAGGCCCAGTAGGATTCCATTAACACCAAGTTCCAGAACTGGCCAAGTGCTGCCCACTGGGCAGAACCACAGTAGCAGTGGCCTTGGGGAACGGGGAGTCAGGAAAGAACCATGAAGCTGCCTGAGGGGATTTGCTGGGGAACCACAGTTCTCAGCTCACACAGGGGTGTGCACATGAGAACACACTGCCTGTCATTGCAGGTCTGCATGTGGCATGGTATTTGGACTCTACCTACAAAGACCCACATGGAAATATCTGAATACTGGTTAGACTGACTTCCATGCAGAAGGGCTCATGGGTTAGAGGAAATGTTGTCTGCAACTCCCTTTGACAGCACCAGACATAAAATGGGCTCTTGGACAACTAGAGGAAGGCACAGATGGGGAAACATGTCATCAAGAATACAGAGCAAAACACTAAGTGTTGAGTCCAGGAAGTTACAAAAATTTCAGACTGTTGGCAAAATGTACTGCAGGATGTAAATTTAAAAGACACATGGTACAAAAACATGTTAAATGGTTAATGCTATCAAAACAAATCTAGTGAACATACTATTAAGATCAGAATACTATTATTATATACTGGAGATGAAATGATACGATGACCAAGATTTGTTTCAAAATAATCAAACAGTGGGAGAAGAGGGTGAGAGTGGGAACAGGCAGGACTGCCCCCAAGAGAATGAAACCTGCAGATTTGTCCACACAGCTCATCACAGTCTTACATCTATACACTAAGAATGGGAACAAAGTGTTACCATAATGACACAATAACACTTCAATTCATCAGGGAGAAATGGAACAGCTGTTGTGAAATCGAAGACTTAAAATTCATTTCACAAATACTGAATGAATAGTTCAGACCGACCCACACATGTCAACTAAATCAGCAAAGACATATGAGCTGAGAAACGACAACAATCTACAGGATGTGTTCACGGCCGAGGCTCAGCGAGGATTCCTGCAGCAGGACACAAGGAGACTTCCAAGCACATGACGGCCACTTCAACTTGATTCAGCTAAGAGGTTTCCCAAGAAGGGCCTAGGTATCACCAAGGACAAATGAAGCCTAAAACCAACACCTTCAGCCTAATAAGAACATACACCACAAACTCACACTTGTCCACAGCCAAAAAAGGAGCGTCAGTTCTCAGAAGAATCTCCTGTGATCCGACCATAAGAGTCTCAGAGAGGGAGGCCCACGGGGCACACAGAAGGGAACAAGTGGCCCAAAGGGGAACCCCCATTGCTCCAAGAAAGCGAGTCCGGCTGACAGGTGTGGAAAAGAACAGTGACAAGCAGTATCCATAATGCCCAACTCCAGAGAGCAGCCCCCCAAAGGCAGTGCCTCTGGGGCACAAGAGGGGAAAGGAAGAAGTGAACCCAGAGACAATGGTGGAGAGAAGAAGAGGTGGAAGATGGGATGGACAGGGTCCTGCAGGACAATAACAAAGAGAAGACACCCCACTGCTGCCTCAGAGAGCCGGGTCAGCAAGGCCACAGTGGGAAAGCCTGCTGGGGAGAAGGAGGGCTTCCTGCAGGAGGAAGGTGTCAGGGTACCCAGGACATGCCCTTACTTGTTCAAGACAATGATGGTGTAGGAGGCACACTGGGCCAGGCAGCCTTAGAAGCCACGGTATGGGAGGACAGCTTCCTGCCAGGGCCTCTGAACAGCCATCCCTGACCTGCAAGGCCAGTGTCCACCCAAGGCTCCCCTCACCTGGACAAGGGCCTGGCCGATGTCTTTTCTCTTCCCTCCAGGGCTCTTCCCCTCGTTCCAGCCAAGTGATGAGGTCTGGTTTAGAACAGGGAATTCCTGCTTAGTGGGAAAAAGGGGCAGGTCACTCTTGATTATAGCCTGAGGGGCTATTTTTGGCATCCAGACCTGGGCGGTGGGAATGAGCTTGAAAGCATGCATTCTAGGCCCTCCTTGTTCCAGTCAGGTGGTTGATTGTGTGTAAGGAGAGCACTGGCAAGGTGGGGAACCTGGCTGAGATGGGCGGTGGTGTGCCGTGTCTTCTGGGCTTGGAGTAGTGCCTGGTCTCAGCCAGACCCCAGGTAGTTAGGTGCACAGGAAGCAAAACTGCCATGAGGGGAGCCCCCACTCACCCAGTGAGACCAGGTGGCTGAAGTTCTCCAGCATCACGTGTCTGTACAGGGTCCTCTGTGCAGGGCTCAGCAGCTCCCATTCCTTCTGCGTGAAATCCACAGCCACATCCTCAAACGTCACAAAAGCCTGCAACACAAACCCAGGCCTGCTCACCAGGAGGCTGCGAGCCACAGCCGGGCCATGTGCGGGCATGGGGGCTGCATCCATCCCCAGCTTTGCAGGCGACCACCGGGTGCCAGACCTTCCACACTGCAGGCGGTGGTTCCCAGGGGCAGCCTGAGACGGACAGCACGTCTGCCCTCCTCCCCAGCCCGAGGACCTGCCTCATCCCGCAGGGGCTGATCAGGCAGCCCGTCCTGCTGGAAGTCTCGGCCACCACTGCCTACGGCCCCTCCCCTCACACACCAACCAACCGATCTTCACTCGGCACTGGAACAAGGACATCCATCATCTGCTTCAGTTTTCTTTGTGTGCTGCTCACTCATCACCACTTGATGCAGTTCCTGCCCCGTCCCCCACAGGGAGGCAGCCAGGCCAGGCAAGTCACTTCCTGAGGATGGCTGCTGCCTTGGCCCTGTACCAATGAGGCAGCCACCAGGGCAGGTGAAGGGAATGGGTTCATCCTATGATGATAAAGATGGGACATCTGGTACGTCTCACCTCTCTCCCAGTCTTGCAGGGTCCCAGAGTCACCTTCCTGCTCTCCATGGAGAAGGGAACCCCTCGGAGGGCTGCTCTGTGGGAGGGAAAGAGAGTAAGAGGGTGCCTGGGTGCACCTGTCCTGTGGAAGGCAGGGTGGATCCTAGCAGTGGGGTGCAGTCCGAGGGCACCAGCAAAGCCACCAACAGGGTCCTCAAAAGTGCAGAGGAAGCCAGGCTATTTACTGGCACAGCTCCATGCTGGGGCCTGGGCATGAGGGCTCAGTATCCTGGGAGCTGAGTGATCTTTTTCTTACAATGTTGAGTGAATGGGAGACAGGCTTGGGACACCCAAGGGGAACTACTGCCTTTAAGGTTAGAACCCAGAGCTCCAGGAGACTCATGACAATTCTGTTGCCTGTCCCAGCCTCAATTTCCCTGTGCTTAAAGGAGGGATAACCATAGGGCACAGACTAGAGGCCACACCTACATGGTGTTGACTTAATGCAGAGCATACTACTAACCTCAAGGGCAAAGCCCAAGGGAGACATGGGGAGCCTAATGTGGGGAGACACTGGTATCAAAGCAACATCCCACCGCAGACCAACTGTAAGCAGTGAGCTCTCCCACCAGAACCCCTCCCCCATTTATGGCAATGACATAGCGTGTCTGCGGAGCAGGTGTCAGGTCACACTGCAGAGGTCTCAGGGGGATTTCTGATCAGAGGTGGATGGGCAGAGGCTTCCCCACAGGATCACTTCTAACAGCAACTGTGCCCTACCTCCACCCCTCATACACCCAAGGTCAGGGGACCAAGGCTGCAACCCAGCTGAGAAATCAGGATTGGAACAGTTCCCAGTATCTCAACACACCATCAGCAGGAGCAGGAGGGTGAGCTGCGGTGAACAAGAAGCCCTGAGACACAGAGTCGGCCTCACGTTTGTGAAATGCTGCAATTTGGATCCTGGTGCAGCAAAGTGCCTGTGAAGCACTTTACCAGGAATTGTTGTGATCGGAACATGAGCCGGATGGTAGGTAGTACTAAAGAGTTATTAATTTTGTTATCTTAAGAAATCTTTGGTTTCTAAAAAACAAACCTTTACCTGTTATAGAAAACCCACTGAACTATTTATGAGTGAATGTGATCTCTGAGTTATGTTTTCACAATATGGACCATATATGGTAACATTTACAATTGGGTAATATGTCCAAGGGAGTTTGTCATACTCTTCTCAATTTCCTTTTTAAAAATTAAGGGAGAAGTATTTTGGAAAAAAGATGGTAGTGGGAGAGTGAGGCAGAAACCTCCTCCCAAAACCACATATACCACAAAAATACTGCAAATTCAACTAATTCTGAAAGAGTAACCCAAAGACTACAGAACTGACTGCCTACATCTAGGGAAAAGAGAAGACCTCACAAAAAAGGGTAAGGTAGCAAACCCATGATCACATGGGACATAAGCCCTCCCTCCACCCCAGCTTACAGGCAGGAAGTAGAAAAATGGAGACAGAATGGAGTAGAAGCCCAGAACTGCTAAACACCCACCCCTGGAGATCTGTTCCTGGTACATAAAGTCATATCACATGGTGCTCTGGAGATTAGTGGACTTGGAAAGCAAAGACAGGCAGAATACTCAGAGTGACTGAGATTCCTGCCACTGGCAGAGAACAATTACCCACAACTGGCCAGTCTGGGACATAAGAAAGGTGGGCACTTTAAAAGCTTCCCAAGAGTGAGAGGCCTGCTAAAGGGGCAAGAATTACATGGAGCTTGCTGCTCAGTAGAAAGGACAGGTGGACAAAATCATACCAGCAACCTTAGCCCAGCAGGTTGGGAACTTTCAGGAGCTTCAGGTACTCCAACCCCATGGCTGGCAACGCAGCACTGAGGTCCCACAGTGCAATATGCAGACTGCCACTCCATCCTCCCCAACAGCACTGGTTCTTAAACCTACTGCCTGCGCCATTGTGCTATGCCAGCCAGAGGGTGGCCCCACCTATGGCAGCTACAAGCGTATAACACAGGAGTCCCACCCGGCATGGTCAGCTCACTGGCCCTGGGAGTGGAGGCAGGCCTGCAGCTTGGAAGCAGGAAAAATTTCTTTCAAAAGGCACTGGCATTGCATCCCTGCACCCATCACCATTGCAGCAGGGGCTGAGCAGCTCTAGAGAGTAGAGCAAAAAAATCTTCTACAAACAAATCCCTTAAAAACCAGAAATAGGCCTAAGTGAAACTGAAATCACCAATCTCCCTGATAGAGGTTTCAAAATAAAAGTCATAAACATGCTCATGGAACTACAGAAAAATATTGAAGATCTCAGGGAGGATTTCAAGAATGAAGAACTTTGAAAAATACAGTATCTGAAATGAAACATGCAATGGAGAGATTCAAAAGTAGATTAGATGCTAAATGAAATAGAAATCAGAGAAGAGGAAAACAAGCTGAAGCAGAGAGAGAAAAGGATCTGTAGGAATGAAAGAATAATGAGAGAACTGTGCGACCAATCCAAGTGGAACAATATTCGCATTATAGGGGTACCAGAAGAAGAAGAGAGAGAAAGGGATAGACAGTCTCTTTAAGGAAATAGCTGCTGAAAACTTCCCCAGGCTGGGGAAGGAAATAGTTTCTCCGGAAATGTAAGTGCACAGACATCCCAACACAAGGGACCCAAGGAGGACAACACCAAGACATGTAATAATTACAATGGCAAAGATTAAGGATAAGGACAGAGTATTAAAAGCAGCCAGAGAGAGAAATAAGATCACATACAAAAGAAACCCCATCAGACTTCTTAGCATAAACCTTACAGGCCAGAAGGGAGTGGCATGATATAGTTAATGAAATGAAGCAAAAGGCCCTGAAACCAAGAATACTTCACTCCACAAGATGTTTAAACTTGAAACAGGGATTAAACAATTTTCAGATAACTAAAAGTTGTTGGAATTTAACTCCCCAAAACACTCTCTACAGTGTATTTTAAAGGACCTGATAGAGGTGGAAGTACTCCTAAGGCTAAATAGCTCTCACCAGAGAAAATGAAACCATAGCAAATGAAGTAGGCCAATTAATTACTAAGAACATGCAAAATTAAATCAACTACTAACAAAGTCACTCAAGGGATACACAAAGAGTACAGAATATGACACCTGTTATATAAAGAGTGAAGGAGGAAGAAAAAGAAGGGAAAAAGAGAACCATTAGATTGTGCTTGTAATAGTGTAATAAGTGAGGTAAGTTAGACTGATGGTAACAGAGCTACTCTTGAACATTCGGTAACCACGAATCCAAAGCCCAAAATGGCAAAAAGGACATATCTATTAATAATCACCCTAATTGTAAATGGACTGAATGCACCAATCAAAAGACATAGAGAATGGATATAAAACACAAGAACAAGCTATATGCTGCAAACTAGAGGCTCACTTCAAACCCAAAGACATATACAGACTAAAAGTGAAGGGATGAAAAAGATATTTCATGAAAACAATAGAGAGCAAAAAGCAGGAATTGCAGTTCTTGTATCAGAAAAAATACACTTGAAAACAAAGAAAGTATCAAGAGACAAGGACATTATATAATGATAAGGAGTTCAGTCCAACAAGATGATATAACCATTATAAATATCTAGGCATCCAAATAGGAGGACCTAAATATGTGAAACAAAGAGTAACAGAATTAAAGGGGGAATAGAATGCACTGTATTCATTTTAGGAGAATTCAACAAAACACTCACCCCAAAGTACAGGTCACGTACACAGAAAATAAGTAAGACGCAGAAGCACTGAACAACACATTAGAGCTGGTGGACCTAACAGACATCTATAGAACACTCCACTCAAGAGCAGCAGGATACGCATTCTTCTCTAGTACACATGGAACATTTTCCAGAATAGATCACAAACTAGGCTACAAAAAGGGCCGCTATAAACTGAAAAAGACTGAAATTGTGCCATCCAGCTTCTAAGACCAGAAAGGTATGAAAATATAAATAAATATACAATGAAAACAAAACGCTAACGAACACATGGAGTCTTAACAACATGCTCCTAAATAATTAATGTATCAATGACCAAATAAAAACAGATCAAGCAATATACAGAAAGAGATGAAAACAACAACTCAACATGCCAAAACCTGTGGGATGCTGCAAAGGCAGTTCTAAGAGGAAAATATATTGCAATACAAGCTTACCTCAAAAAAAGAATAATGCCAAATGAACAGTCTAAACTCACAATTAATAAAACTAGAAAAGAAAAGAACAAATGAGACACAAAGTCAGTATAAGGAGAGACATAACAAAGATGAGAGCAGAAAAAAAATTGAGAGTAAAACAATAGAAAGCATCAATGAAATCAGGAGTTGGTTCTTTGAGAAAATAAATAAAATAGATAAACCCATAGCCAGATTACCAAGAAAGAGAGCCTACACACACACAACAGAATCAGAAAAGAGAAAGGAAAAATCACCATGGACACCATGAAAATACACAGAATTATTAGAAAATACTATAAAGATTTATATACTAACAAATTGGATAATCTAGAAGAAGTGGACAACTTTCTAGAAAAATACAACCTCCCAAGACTGACCTAGGAAGAAACAGAAAATCTGAACAAACCAATTACCAGCAAGGAAATTGAACTGGTAATACAAAAATCTACATAGGAACAAAAACCCTGTACCAGATGGCTTCACTGCTGAGTTTTATCAGTCATTTAGAGAAGACATATGCCCATTCTCCTTAAAGTTTTCCAAAAAGTAGAGGAGGGTATACTTCCAAACCCATTCTATGAAGCAAGCATCACTCTAATCCCGAACCAGAGAAAGACACCACACACACACACAAGAGTTACAGAACAATAGACCTCATGAACATGAAAAAATCCTGAACAAAATATTAGGAAACCAAATTAAAAAATATATTAAAAAGTTCTTCCACCATGCTCAAGTGACATTTACTCCAAGGATGCAAGGATGGTGTAGTATTCAAAAACCCATCAACACCATACACCACATCAGCAAAAAGAAGGACAAAATCACATGATCATCTCCATAGATGCTGAAAAACATCTGAAAAAATTCAATATCCATTCA